GAGAGTAGCTAAAGCAAATGGAAGAAATTACAAGATAAAAGAGCTGAACAGAAGATATCAAAGAGCAGCTTGAGAAGACAAAGTCAATTATTATAATGAAATGTGCAAAGACCTGGAGTTAGAAAACCAAAAGGGAACAACACACTTGCCATTTCTCAAGCTGAAAGACCTGAAGAAAACATTCAAGCCATGAGCCGCAACATTCTATGGGCAAAATATTGAATGATGCAGGAAACACCAAAATAAGATGGAAGGAATACACAGTCACTGTATCAAAAAGAACTGCTTGATGTTCATCGATTTCAGGAGGTGACAAATGATCAAGAACCAATGGTACTGAAGAAAGGAGTTGAAACTGTATTGAAGGAATTGGAGAAAAACAAGGCTTCAGGAATTGACAGAATACTCATTGCGATGTTTCAACAAATGGATGCTGTGCTGGAGGCACTTACTCATCTATGCCAAGAAATTTGGAAGACCTGGCCAACTGACTGGAAGAGATTCATATTTGTGCCCATTCCAAAGAAAGGTGATCCCACAGCATGTGGAAATTATCAAACAATATTATTAACATCAAATGCAAGTAAAATCTTGCTGAAGATAATTCAAAAACAGTTGCAGCAGTATATTGACAGGGAACCTCCAGAAATGCAAGCTGGATCCAGAAGAGGATGTGGAACAAGGGATATCTTTGCTGATGTCAGATGGATCTTGGCTGAAAGCAAAGAATACCAGAAAGATGTTTACCTGTGTTTTATGGACTATGCAAAGGCATTCAACTACATGGATCATAACAAATTATGGATAACATTGAGAAGAATGGGAATTCCAGAGTACTTAATTATTCTCAAGAGGAACCTGTACACAGACCAGGAGGCTGTCATTGGAACAGAACAAGGGTATACTACATGTTTTAAAATCTGGAAGTGAATGCATCAGGGTTGTATCCTTTCACCATACTTATTCAATCTATATGCTGAGCAAATAATCCGAGAAGCTGGACTATATGAAGAAGAGCATGGCATCAGGATTGGAGAAAGACTCATTAACAACCTGTGATATGCAGCTGACACAACTTTGCTTGCTGAAAGCAAGGATGATGTGAAATACTTACTGATGAAGATTAAAGACTACGATCTGCAGTATGAATTACACCTCAACATAAAGAAAACAACTGGACCAATAAGCAGCATCATGATAAATGGAGAAAAGATTGAAGTTGTCAAAGATTTCATATTACTTGGTTCTACTATCAACAATGGAAGCAGCAGTCAAGAAATCAGACAACATATTGCACTGGGCAAATCTGTTGCAAAAGACCTCTTTAAAGTGCTGAAGATGACTCTTTGAAGAATAAGGTACACCTAACCCAAGTCACGGTGTTTTCAATAGCCTCATATGCATGTGAAAGCTGGACAGTGAATAAGGAAGAACAGAAAAGAGTTGATGCTTTTGAGTTGTGGTGTTGGTGAAGAATACTAAACGTACCATGGACTACCAGAAGAACTAATAAATCTGTCCTGGAGGAGGTACAGCCAGAATGCTCCTTAGAAGCGAGAATGGCCAGACTTTGTCTCATCTACTTTGGTCATGTTGTCAGAAGAGAACATTCCCTGGAATAGGATATCATGCTTGGTAAAGTGGAGGGTCAGCAAAAAAGGGGAAAACCTTCAATGAGATGGAATGACACAGTGGCTGCAACAATGGGCTCAGGTATAACAAGGATTGTGAGGCTGGTGCAGGACAAGGCAGCGTTTTGTTCAGTTGTACATGGGGTCGATATGAATTGGAGCCAACTTGATAGTACCTAACAACAACAACAGGATAGTTGTTACAAGAAAAAATTAAAATTTTTTAAAAACTCAAAATACAGAAAGTAAGTTTTGCCAATAATGTTGAGAAATTGGAACCCTCAAGGATACATTGCTAATGAAAAATGTAAAATGGTATAGCCACTGTGGCTTAAAAGTTAAACACCAAGCAGTTTCACTCTTAGGCATATACCAAAGAGAAATGAAAACATATGTTCAGACAAAACCTTAAACAGAGCAGCATTATTCACAATAGCTGAAATGTGGAAAGCCAAATGTCCATCAACTGGTGAATGGGGGTAAACAAAACATGGTATATCTATATAATGAAATTTTATTTGAACATAAAAATGAATGAAGTATGGATATATGCTACAACACAGATAAACCCTGAAAATATTATGCTATATAAAAGAAGTTACTCATAAAGGACCAAATATTATATGATTCTATTTGTATAAAATTTCCAGAAAAGGCAAATCCTTAAAGAAAGAAAACAGATTAGTGGTTGTCAGAGACTAGGGGAAAGAAAGAATGGGAATTGACTGCTAAAGGGTATTAGAATTTCTTTTCGAGGTGCTAAAAATGTTCTGGAATAAAGATAGTGGTGATGGTTGTACAACCTTGTGATTATACTAAAAACCACTGAATTGTACATTTTAAAATGGTGAATTTTATGGTGAATTCTATCTCATTAATAAAAGTTCAACAATAAGAAAACAAATAATTAAGAAACGGGTAAAAGATTTGAAGAGATACTTCACAAAGAAGATGTTGTTGTTGTTGTTATGTGCCGTTGAGTCAGCCCTGACTCATAGCGACCCCTCCTTGGGTTTCCGAGGCAGTATCACTACGGAAGTAGGATTGCCCAACCTTCCTTCCGAGGAGTGGCTGGTGGGTTTGAACCGCCAGCCTTCTGGTTAGCAGTCAAGTGCCGGAGCCACTATGCTACCAGAGCTCCTATATGAGTGACAAATAAGCATATAAAAAGATGTTCAACATCATTAGTCATTATGGAAATGCAAAAATAACCACAAGATGCCACTATACATATTTTAGAATGTCTAAAAGACAAGACAACACTAAAAAAAAAAAAAAAGACGCTGCAAATAGCATAGTGCCTAAGGCACTTGATGCTGGTGGTTCAAATCCACCAGCCACTCCTCAGAAGGAAGGTTGGGCAATCTACTTCTGTAGTGATACCGCCTCAGAAACCCAAGGAGGGGTCGCTATGAGTCAGGGTCGACTCGACGGCACATAACAACAACAAATGTTGGCCAAGATGTGAAACAACTGGAATACTTATACATTGCTACTGGAAATATAAAATGATACAATCACCTTGGAAAACAATTTGGCATTTTCACAAAAAGTTAAATATTCATTTTCCATTTGAACAAGCCATCCCATATCTAAATATATACATGAAAGAAGTGAAAGCATATGCCCATACAAAGTACATGTACATGAATGTTCTTAACAGCTTTATTTCTAACAGTCAAAAACTGGAAGCAACTCAAATGTGAATGGCTATGAGGATATACAAATTGGGTAATATCTGTATAATGAAACAGCATTCAGCAATATAAAGGAATGAAATACTAATACACAAAACAACTCTAACAAACCACAAAATAAAACCGAATTAAAGAAGCCAGGCAAAAAGAATACACATTATAAGATTTCATGTGTATAAAAGTTTAGAAAATGCACAGTAAACTGACAGAAAGCAAATCAGTGGTCGCTTTGGGGGCAGAGAGGGACAAATTACAAAGAGACACATGAAGAAAGGTTGGGGAGTGATGAATATGATTGTGGTGATGACTTCACTCATGTACAAATACGTTAAAACTTATAAAAATCTACACTTTAAATATATGCAGTTTGTTACTGTTGTTAGTTTCCATCAAGTCCATTCAGACTCTTGGTGACCACGAGTGCAGGGTATAACTGCTCCATCCACATGGTTTTCAAGGCTGTGACCTTTCAGAAGCAGATCGCCAGGACTGCCTTATATGTAATTTATTATACAGCAATATACCTTACTAAAGCTGTTTAGAAAGAAATTACACTCTAAAAAAAATACAACATATCAAAATTTGAGTGACATACCAAAAGCAGTGTTTTAGAAAAACTGACAGCTTTAATTGCTCCATTTTTCTAATAAAGGTGTATAATCAATGACCAAAACTAAAACTAAAAAAGGAAGAGCAAAGTAATCAAAGTTATTAGAACTAAGGAATAATAGAGAAGTCAGTGAAATAGAAAACAAAAGAAAAAAGTTAATTTAGCACAAGCCATTTCTCACTGAAACTACCTAAGTAAAAACCTCAAAATGCCATGCTATTGTACCTCCATAAAAGAAAGTGCTTTTGGTTCCAACCACTCTTTTGAAGTCTTGAGCTTGGGAAGTATGCCAGGGATCAGCTCATCACTGCTAAAATTTTTCATAGCAATCACAAATAACAGAACACCTAGAAAAACTAAAAGGTAGCTTATTTAGTGATATAAACTCACAATCCTCTTATTTTGTTTAATTAATACTAGATAATGTGACCAATGAATGGACGTGTAAGGGATTAGGAACAGATGTTGGCCCTCACAGAGGCCTTCCTACAGGTGGCTTTTGATGATGTCTTCAGAGCTAGCCTCCTTTAAGCAGAGGAGGTTCTCTGGTTTGAATCGTCCCTACCACCTCATCCGCTCTCTTAAATGGCTTCCCACGTCCTCCTACAGTGTACCCGATTAAAAAAAAAAAAAAAAACACTGCCATGGAGTCTGATTCGATTCATAGCGACCCCTCCTTGGGTTTCCGAGGCATTATCACTACGGAAGTAGATTGCCCCATCTTCCTTCCGAGGAGTGGCTGGTGGGTTTGAACCGCCAGCCTCTGGTTAGCAGTCAAGTGCCTTAGGCGCTATACTTTTCTGCCTGGCCTCTAAGGCCATTTTCTAACTTTGGTTGTCATCAATGGGGAGAGTTACAACTCTCCGGTTATTAAAATGCATAGACAAGGCCGTTTTGGGAAAGAAGGGAGGGGCTTTAAGACAAAGTTTGCAAGTTTTCAAGGTAATAACAGCCCAAAGCCTTCCCCCAAGGAGTGTCTCTGAAGAAACTATGATTAGTTTGCATCAGTGGCAGACAGACGGCAGCCACTCCATCCCACCCCAGTCAGCAAGATGCCTGCTGCCTCGACCCCCATCCCTGGGCCCACAGTCCACCCAGCGGAAGCGGCGCGCGCTGGAGGCCGCCCCGGGGCTAGGCAGGGAGCTCTGCGGGACTCCACTGGCACCTCCGCTTTCCTCCAGAGAATATCCCAGACTACGGCTGTTCCGCACCGCCCTGGAGCCCAGCCTGAGGGCCCAAAGCCCAGGTTTCCCTTCTGGCTGAGGCGGGAAAGTGAGCCAGTCCGGGCCTGCAGCCCAGTCACCTAGAGTCCGTCTCTTCAGAATGTGAGAACATTCGGTCCAATGTCTCCCGGACGCAGTGCCGCGCGGCCCTTCCGCCGCGGCGGACGACAACGAGTTCCGGCGGCACAAAGAGGGCGGAGGACTCTGAAGTCGGTCAGGGCTGCCCGGTTTGTTGCTCTCGCCTGCTCGGGCCCTGTAACCCGAGTTCTTGCGGTCCAGCCTGAGTAAGAAAGAATTTGGAAGCCAGCAGGGTCAGCTTTTGCGGGCAGTTATTTGTGTGTCAGACTAAGGGCTATAGTCCCTGCTTGCCCGTGATAAGCACCTGTCACAGCCAACAGCAGTGCACGTCGCCTTCCGCCCCATTTTCCCCAAGCGTCGGTGAGGGGCAGGTCCTCGCCGCGCCAGCTGTGAGAGGAGCTCTCCCCTTCCGTTGCGGGAGAATATTCGGTTCTGCTTGTGTGTAGGCCACCTCGCTCACTTAAAATTTTCAGCTCCTTGGGCGCGGCTTTCCAGCCAACCGAACTGGGAGTTAACTGCCCCCAGCCACCCACCCACCCAGTTCTACTCCGGGGAACCCCTTTGAGACAGATCATCAGGAGGGCTGTGGCAGGGAAGGGGGTGCCTCCCTTTCCGTATTCATTGGAAGGGTGAGTGTTTGTGAAGGTTGTCCTGGTGAGGACGATTCAAAAAGATCAGAGGACTTTTTGAGAAATACTGATTTAAGTGCTGTAAAGGTATTATTAGTTCACTGGTGTGTTGATCAGTGTCCATATTTGGCGCTGATGCTGGTCAGTGAGGAGGAAATGTAAAGATTGATGATCAGCCTATTTAATTTACTCTTGTTTACTTAGTTCAGTGTGGTTCTCCATCCTGGCTGCCCATTTCATGAGCTGGGGTTTTTAAAACAAACTGATGCCTGAGACCCACCCTAGATCAATTGAAAATGAATCCCAGAGGGTGGGACTTTTGTAGGGTTTTTTGTTTTAATCCCCAGGTGATTCTGATGCAAACCGTAATTGAAAATTATGAAACTGTGGTTTTCCAAACTCACTTCATAATGAACTCTCTGTGAACTGATTTTTATTTTTCTCCTTTAAGTATTGGTGGACACTAGATGATAGACCAACTTTTTCACTCTTCTGTCTTTTCAGAGTACACATGGTAATATTAAAACGGTCTGAAGGGACTTTTGTATTCACATGCCTTTTAAAAGCAAGCCAGAGTGGATCATTTCCCTTTTACAGAACTGAGGGAACATGAGCCATTTGCAGACCTTACTGTTAGATACCCTCCTAGGAACGAAGCATGTGGACAGTGCAGCCCTCATCAAACTCCAAGAGCGGAGCCTGTGTGTAGCATCGCCCGGATTTAGTGTAAGGAAAAACAAGCCTGGGCATAAGTATTTCAAGCAAACTTTTCCTGTAAAGAGCTAGATAGTGAATATTTTAGGCTTGCAGGCCATATGGTCTTTGTCTCAACTACTCAACTCTGCAGATGTAATGCACGGTACATAAAGGAATACGTGTGGCTTTATTTATGGACACTGAAATTTGAACTTCACATAATTTTCACAAGTCGAAAATATTCTAATATTTTTAACCTCTTAAAAATGTAAAAAAACATGAATTATATTTCAATAAAATATATATTTTAAAAAATGTAAAAACCGTTCTTAGCTTGTAGGTATACAAAAATAGGCAGTGAGCCAGATTGGGCCTGACGAGGAAAGTTTGTTGACTCTGGTCTAACTCTTTAACCTCTACAGGTAATGCCCAGTGATGTCCGAACACTTGTGAATGGATTTGCCAAGAACCCTTTACAAACCCGAAGAGAAGGATTATATTTCAAGGAAAAGGATTACAAATGTGTCCGGGCAGATGAATATTCTCTTTATGCTAAGAATGTGAGTGGGCAAGATTTGAAGACAGCTAGATAAAAATCTTAAGAATTCGACTCTAATTATCTTTGCCCTCTTGATCTATTTATAAAACATAGTAAGGCCATTCATTATGCCTTGTGTGAGATAGCAGATAGTGTCTGCTTTCTGACTCATAGGGACTGCCTTTGGGTCTCCAAAGCCTCCTTCCAAGGCAGTAAACCTTTAGGGAAGTAGATTGCACAGTCTTCCTTCTGCAGAGTGGCTGCATGGTTTGAACCGCCAGCCTTCTAGTTAGCAGTCAAATCCTTAGGCACTATGCCACCAGAGCTCCTTAGTCTGGTGCCAGGATGGCATATATGAAATACAGTACTATCAGAGAACCTGGTTTTGGGAAGCATTCAATTTAAAATCTATCAACTGAGCCTTGCCTGAGCTGTGTTTCTATTCCAGCCCATCCTTCATACTCTACATCCTCTTGTTTAAAAAAAAAAAAAAATTACATCACTCCTGTTCTTAAAAATCTCTCTTGGCTCCCTGTTGCCGCAAAGGAATTAATGGGACTTCACATTTATTGGATACTCTACATGGATTAGAGACACTTCATCCATGTTATAAACTAAATGGCCTCATTTTGCAGATTAGGAAACTAAGGTTTAACAAGGTTAAATAATTCTTCCATGGCCATCCAGTAGAAAATAGAGAATCTAGGATTAATAAACTTCAAAATTTATTATCTTTCCATTACATGAGTTGTTCTTGAGATAAGGGCATACTTCGATGAATTGGGAACTTGTCCAAAATCCACATACTGATATTGGAACAGTCTGAAACTTTTTTAATAAAGACAATTAGTGGAAAAAAGTGGAAAGTCCAAAAACCAATATATGGAAGTCAGGAGATGGTGAAAATTGACTTATAACTGCTAGTTAAGATGAGGACCAAAAGAAGGGTGTTCTATTTTATTCTTTGTGCAGGAAAACACTGGTGTGGTGGTTGTGAAGACCCATCTGTATCTTCTGGTGGCAACTTACACTGAGGGCATGTATCCTAGTGTCTGTGTGGAAGCCACAGAGAAACTGGGTAAGTTGGCTCCTGTATTAGTTTCCTAGGGCTGCCATAACAAAATGCCACAAAGTGGATGATTTATAAGAGGCTTCCTTCTTCACCCCACCCCCGCCAAGTTGGAGTTCAAAATCAGAGTGTTGTCAGGGCCATGTTTTCTCAGTCTTGATGTTGAATGAATACATGTTTGATAAGCAAATAAATTAATCACCACTGCTTAACAGAGTCAGGAAATGCTCCAGAGATCTGAATGTTAAAGGGCTAATTGAACAATTAAGTACCATCACAAAGACAATATATATACGCACAAATGAATATATTTATAGACCTCCCCAGTTTTCATGAATAGCTCCCTGGAGAGGACTGTCATAAACCATTGCTACACAGCTGCAAATAAGGTATTCTGAAAGCAAACAGGACTGAGCTGGAAAAGATACAATTTAGGAAACACCTGACAGAATAGGTGAACTCCAAGTCAGGAAGGACCGACTATTACAACTACCAAGGAGCCTTTCTGAACAGCTGTCTGGATTTGAGGGACTTTCAGTTTCAGTAGGGTAGAGCAGGAGTAAGACAGAACACTGATATGTAGATCCAGAAAATGAGACTAGGAAGATGGGCAGTGAGGTGCCAAGTTATCAGATGGGGTCTGGAACTATTTCCTCAAGTTCCCTGTGGAGATACAGTTTCTTGGGGACCAAAGACCTTTGTAAAAGTGGACTGGAGAAGATGCCTGACCACTGTAATGAGAATAGATTCTGCGGCTGGCACTGAAAGTTGGGATTCTTGCCTAGGACCACAAAAGAATGTTTGCTGGTTAGAATGGCACCACTGACGTCATGCCACTAAGATCCCACTACTCTGAGAAGGGACAGGCTGTCCTAGAAATGGTCAGATGCTTGTGAGAGATAAGGTTGGTACCCACTCAGGAGCCAGTTCTTCTATTTACTTCATTTATTTTCTTTTAAATATGCTTTTCTATGAATAATTATTGTAGAAAATTTGAAAGTATTTTGACTATTAAAACAATTTTATTATGAAAGATTCTCAGAGCAGGATTATTTCTTAATTAAATGAAACCTTTAAATAGTAATTAAGTAAAGGATGCTATGCTACTTCTCTAACAAATTAATCAGGTTTGTTTTTAAAACGAACAATAAATCACATACATTTGTAAAATGTTAATAACTTAAAAATCTTCAGTTTGCAAAAAAAAGTTTTAAGTACATGAACAAAAGTTTTTATCTTATAAGCTTTTTTGTGTCTTATTTTTAATATTAGTATTGAAATATGAGAGAACTATGACTTTTTTCCTTAAGTTTTTGTGCTCTCTCTCCAAGGTTGGAATATAGAAGCCAACCAAGTTTCCTAGTTTCTCCATTTAAGAGTTGCCTCATTTCTAACTAAATCCATATATTCAAGAGCTAGGCTCTGTATTTTGATAGACAGATAGAGATATGGATAAAAACCCAAAAAACCAAACTCACTGCTGTCGAGATACAGATACAGGTAAATATTGTAATGGTTTTGGTATTTTGTTTATTCTCATGAGAATTTCATCCAGGACAGTATCTCCAAATCTGTAAAACAAAATAATGGGGAAATACAATTCATTTTGTAGAATTTGTCTTGCACCTAACTTCTCAGTAGTCTACTTCTTTTGTCACTTTGTTGGTAGCTGTTGTCTGGTTGTCCCTGATTCATGGTGACCCCATGCACAACTGAATGAAGCACTGCCTGGTCCTGTGCCATACCCATGATTTATGATTGTTGTGGATTGGACAGTGTGCCACTGTGATACATAGAGTTTCCATTGGCTGATTTCCAGAAGTAGATTGCCAGGCCTTTCTTCCTAGTCTGTCTTAATTTGGAAGCTCTGCTGAAATTTATTCAGCATCATAGCAACACACAAGCCTCCACTGATAGATGAGTGGTAACTGTGCATAAGGTATTTGCCAGGAATCAAACCCCAGCCTACTCTGTGAGAAGCAAGAATTCTGTCACTGAACTACCAATGTTTCTCTTTGGTCACATAATACATTCCTATTCTCCCAGAGTTTCAGTCTGTCATGATTGCAATAAAGGAAGTCAAGTTAAGTAATATCAGGCATTCGATTTAAGAAGAAGATTCATGTTGTTGATGAGTTAAGCCTTAGCTTTCAAACTTATTATTAATATACACACACAAAAAAAACCTCACTGCCGTTGACTCGATTACAACTAATAGCTTGTTAAAAATACTGTACTTAGTTTTATATCTAGGTCATAGACTGCATAAGGAAAGGAAAGCAGCAGATTCTTTTGTTCCCCTGAACCCTCTGCCTTTCTGTTTCCTTTGCCCAGCCATATGTATTCTTCCTCCTTTCCTTTGCCTAGAGAACCAGTTCATACTAGAGGATTCAGCTCCAAATACCTCTATTGTGGCATTTATTACTATGAATTACAGTTGATGTTTATATCTGCTTCACCTACCAGACAGTAAACTCCTTGAGGGCAGGAGCTGTATCTTATCTAGTCATTCTTGTATCTCCAATACCTAGTACAGAGCCTAACACATGGTGGTCACTCAATAATGTTTGTAGAACAAATAAATTAATGAAATAATCATATCTTAGTGGCAAATTACTGCTCTGGTTTTTTTTTTCCAGGAGAATATCTAAAAAAAAAAGGATGCTAAGTCATCAACCAGCTATGAAAGACAGCCTATATTATTTTAAAAGAAGACAATACAGCCTAATAAATAAATAAAAATTTATTGAGGTTTTTTTGTTATTGAAAAACTTAAGACTTTAATACATCAAATAAAACCAATTTCTGGGGCAAACAATCAAAACTTAAAATAGAAAAAAAGAGTTAACATTATCTGGGTTATGGCAGAACCCAGAAAATATGTTCCTGTAATTGAAAAATTATAAATGTTTAACAGTTGACCTTTTGATACAAAGTGACTTATTAAATTTGCAACTTGATGTTGAAGCCCATAGGACAAACTAGAAAGTCTTTAAACTTGAGCTGAAATCCATGAGGGGTTATTGCATTGGTTTTACCTTGTCTAAGAGCTCTGGTAGCATAGTGGCTAAGACACTTGCCTGCTAACCAGACGGCTGGCGGTTCAAACCCACCAGCCACTCCTCGGAAGGAAGGTTGGGCAATCCTACTTCCGTAGTGATACTGCCTCGGAAACCCAAGGAGGGGTCGCTATCACGACTATGAGTCGGGGCCGACTCGACGGCACATAACAACAACAACAACAACAAGAGATAGAAACAGTAACAATACTCACCGTCTGGGCAGCTTCTTTTTTGGCATGATAAGCCTATAGAACTGCCACAGCTTCAACCAACTTAGAGCAGAGAAACTTGGGAGACTTCTGCATAATGCCTTACTTTATGGATAACAAAACACTAGTCAGAAGATACTAAAAAGGAACATTGAGTTAAGGGAGCAATTTTTCATATTTCAAGAGATCTTTTGTTACTGTTGTTAAGTATTGGTCATTTGCATGGAATGTGAGAGTCCTGATGGTTTCACAGGACATGCCTGTTGGGAGACTTTCCTTCACGAAGCTCTTGTGCTCCTACCCATCTTGCTGGGTATGCCCAGAATGTAAGTCCCTGGCCACTCTTTATCTAGACTATTTCTGGGTTATGTTGTAACAAACAACCCTGAAGAATAAAGTGATGTCTTCAGGACAAGGGATAAGCTTTCTTATAGACTCTATTTCCTTCACCTCCTCCTAAGGCATTATGGTCACTGAATCCAATTATCCCCAGAAAGAGTTCTTCTCTTGGTCACCTTCTGGATGATGATCAGAATAATAGGAGTGGGGAGTTAGATAATATATTTTGAAAATTCAGAATTCAACCCTGACCATTTCTGAGCATGATGCTTCTTTCTTTCACCTAATAGCAACCCCAGGGACCCCTGGTTGGTGCACATGCCCCCTGGGGAGGTAACACTCTACATCTCTGGCCAAAAGTAGTCCTAGAGAATTCAAACTTAATTCTGGTTCAACTAGATTGGATTGACATGGTCCTAGACCACTTGTTGAGTGCACTGCTCTCCAAGTTCCTCCACAATGTACTATACAGGCCAACTTGGGGGATTAAAATGAATCTCTGTAAATTTGGTAAAAATGTCCTTGCCCCTCTCACAGCTAATTCTTCTAGACAAAAGATATGGGGGCAAGTAGTGGATAATAGGGGGAAAAAAAGTGTAGTTATGGCTACCAGGATGGGACATACCAATTTCATAGAGGGAGAACAGAAGCCCTGACACTTGGGAGGAAACAGCTTAGACCCTGGGAGATAAGGGAACAGAGGGAACAATTAAAGCTCTTTTCCCCCCCAGACTCAGAACCACACCTGAGAAAATAATCATATGGTCTAAACATTGGCTTTTGTGAGTAGAATAAAGTCAAACCTTAGACCCTTCTCAGTTCTTGACAGTTCTTATCATATAGCAAGGTGCAGTGTTCTGAATTCCAAAGACGTGATGTCTGGGAAAGGCGTCTTTTGTTAGCATTTCTAAAATTCTTCCATTTTCAGGATTTGTATATACCCTATCAAGGAGTTTACTTTCAACATCATACTTTCTCTGAGCTTCAGTGCCAAGGATTACAGATTTGTTCTTGATGGTCAACCTTACAACCTGTCCATTCATTCATTTAATCCAGAGGCAAACAAAGGAGATACTGTATTGTCTGTCTGATGTGATTGATCCTAATTACAAGGGGATGGATTGATATTACATAATGGAGGTAAAAAGAAAAGAATATGTCTGGAATAAAAGAGATTCCTTAGGATGTCTCTTAGTACTACCATGCCCTGTGATTAAAGTCAATGGAAAACTATAGCAACCCAATTCTGATATGACTACTTGTCATAGGTGCTTGCTGAGAGCAAGGGGAATATGGAATGGGTGGTAGAAGAAGATAGTTCAAAATACCAGCTACAACCATGTGACCAGTTGTGGAAACAAGGACTGTGATTTTATGAGTATTTCTTCATTGTATATGTACATTGAATATTTTTGTTTTCTTCAGTTGTACAATATAAGATGCAAACAGGGCTAATGTGTTTTCAGTTTTACGCATGTTAGTTGTATTGTGTTAGGCACAAGTATGACTTTATAAATTGTCTTTATTTAGAAATCTTGTGTGATTTAAGGAGATGTGTGTTGTTGTTATGTGCCATCAAGTTGGACCCGACTCATAGTGACCCCTCCTTGGGTTTCTGAGGCATATCACTACAGAAGTAGTGATATCTTCCTTCTGAGTGGCTGGTAGGTTTGAACCGCCAGCCTTCTGGTGAGCAGTCAAGTACCTTAGACACTATGCTACCAGAGTTCCTAAGGAGATGTGTACAAATGCTAAATTGACAAGGGGTGGACTGTGATTGTTAAGGTTGTATGTTAACCTGGGTAGACCATAATTCTAAGTGGTTTAAGCAGTTATGATGTGATTACCTCCATGATGAAATATTATATGAGCAGCCACTTGGTTGAAAGAAGTTTCCTTAGGGGTATGACTTGCTTCCAGTAAATGTATGGATGTCCTGGGAACATTCTGGCTTTCTGCTGGATCTTGATCATGAATCTAGCTCATCATCATCTCCAGTTCTTGGAGCTGAACCAGTGGCATACCATATTACCTGCCAATCTTGGGACTGTTGCCTTCCAGACTGTGAGTCAACAATCTGCCATTTTACCTGCCGATCTTGGATTTGTCATCTGCCAAAGCTAGCAACCTGCTATACAGCCTGCTGATCTTGGGTTCCTCAGCCTCTGCAGCTGCATGAGTCAGGAAAAGCCTGCAGAAGCTTCCAACTTGATATTTGACCTATGAATTTGGGACTTGCCAACCTTTACAACTTTGTGAGCCATTTCCCTGTGATAAATTTCTCTCTCTGTCTCGCTCTCTACATATATATAACTTCATATATATATATGGCCCCTGACACGGGCTACAATGATGGGCTCAGGTATAGCAAGGATTCTGAGGCTGGCACTGGACTGGGAAGTGTTTCATTCTCTTGTACATAGGGTCACTATGAGTCAGATCTGTCGATGGCACCTAACAACAAATACATATATGTATATATGTGTATATATATATAGTATATATATGTGTGTGTGTGTGTGTGTGTGTGTCTTAGTATTACCATGCCCTGTGATTAAAGTCAATAGAAAACCATAGCAACTCAATTCTGATATGACTACTAATGCCCCAGACCCTGCAGGAATAAAGGTTCAGGTCATCCCACCAGGCAAAGAACCACAACCAGCTGAGGTGCTTGCTGAGAGCAAGGG